GGCGGGCGGGGGCAGCGGGAGCCGGGGAAGGAGCCTTTGGTCCCCGCCAGCGCCCAGCTCCGCCGCCCCACGGTGCTCCCACCGCCCCACGCCAGGGTCCTGTGCCGGCACACCTGGGTGCGAGGCCATGTCCCCCCCCACGGCGTGGCACCCGGCCCATCGCTGTGGCAACCGGCACCAGCGCCGGCTGTGTTCTCTGCACCGGGGCCGCCGTGGGAACCTGGCCGGGAGCCACCTCATTCCGCCCGGGCTCTCTGGGCCGCCTTTGTAGCCGGCATCGAGCCCAGCTGGCAGCCGCTTCCTCCCGGCCTCCCCCTGCTCCATGTGTGGGTCACAGCCCCGGTTGGGGGGGAGTGGTGAGAGGGGACCCCCAGCACAGGGCTGCACGCCCCCCTCCACGCGCCCCACGGCTTCGGGCTGGCTCCGGCGTAGCCAAGTGCGAGCAGCCGCCAACGCTGCCCCGAGCCAGGGCTGTGCCCGCAGCCCCCGGGGCCACTGAGCCCCTGCCAAGGCACCTGGGACCCCAGGGCAACGCGCCGCCCCCACTGCCCCTTGCCTGACCCCGGCAGCTCCCTGGGTTGGGGGGGACACACACACAACCCCCAAGCAGCACCATGTCCCATCCCCACTCCCTCCATCCTGCCAGTGCCTTGGCTCATCCGTGCCTCAGTTTCCCCAAGAGAGATCCCGCCCGGGGCCAAGGTTTGCCGCGCTCGCTGGGAGCCTGCTGGCCCGGGACCTGCCGGCAAGCGCCGTCGTGCCGGCTACAGCACCCGCCCGCCGCAGCACCCGTCGGCACTCGCTCCCGGGGGTGAGGCCGGGGAGGGAGGCTGGCGGGGCGACGCCTCCACCACCATCTGATGGCAAATCACCCCAAAAACGGGCCGGGCCCGGCCACTGCCCTGCCCCCAGCTCCTGCCCGCCGGGATTTTCCCTGAGAACCTGCCACGCTCCCAGCGCGGGGGCCACGTGCGTGGGAGGTGGGCGGAAGAGGAGCATTTTCCAGTGCTGGAAATCCAGAGGAAAAAGGTTGCCGGACGGAACGATTAACGCAGGCGGGTTAATCATTACAGCAGCGCTCCCCCCCCCCACCCCCCCTCCTCTCCCCAGGAGAAGGAAGTTGCGAGGATACGGCCTTCCAGCCACCCAAGGGCAACGTGGCCCAAGGCCACGGCCGGGCTCCTGCTGGCACCCTGCAGGGCCTCTGCTGACCTTCCCACACCAGGGCCGCGGGCAGCACCCCATGGCCAGGGGGGGTCGGGGAGGGGGCCCAGCTGGAGCCAGCCCTGCACCCCTGTGCCTCGGTGGGGTTAGACAGGGTGCTGCCCCCCACCAGGGCTCCCCAAGTTCCTGGGGGGCTGCCAGTGGGGCTGCCTTCCACCTCCTGCAACCCCCCAGGCAGGGACGAAGGGTGGGGGGCAGCCCCCATGTCACACCGTGGGCACCGAGGACGGGGGGCAAAGGCTGCGAGAGGCCACCCCAAGGTCACCCCACAGGACCCCGAGCCCGGCGGGTTGGGGCAGGGAAAGGGGCGGCTCTGCCGGGTGAGTCAGTCCCGCCGGGAGCCGGGGAATCCTGGGGCTGAGGTGTGGGGTTTGGGGTTTTTCATTCCCCTGCAGAGCTTGAACCTTTCCCCTGCTCTGGGGACCTGGGTGGGACGGGGGGAAATGCCATGAGGCCAAACCCGGGGAGGGGATGCCAGCGCCCCGAGATTTGGCCCGGCTGAGCCCGGCTCCTCTCGGAAACCACCCCCCAAGAGAAGAGCCGCCGGCGGCGCCGCTGGCAGGAGCGGTGATGCTTCACTTTCCGAGCGCTGCCGGCCCCACTCCCCACCCTCCAGCTGGCAGCAGGAGATGCAAGTCATGGGCGAGAGCCCTGGCTGGAAAGGAAAGGAAGGAGGGGGGCGACACGCTGCCCCCCCCCCGCCCCGCTCACAGCGTTTTCCAGGCAGCCCGTCCCTCCTGCGCATTAACCTTCCCCTCAACGACCACCCCACCCCGAACCCCGAGCCAAACAGATCCCAGGCTCTCTGCAATTATTCCCTGTGTTGTCCCAGTGGTCCCGGCCACCACAGCCCCCCATCCCCCCCAAGAGGGGACCCCAAGTGTCCCAGCATCCGCTGTACCCCCCAGAATGGTGGGGAAAGGGCTTTAGCCCCAGCTGTGGCTGGAGGCCATGGTCCCCAAGGGGTCCAGGGACAGGAGAGCACCACGGCAGGATGGCCCCACTGCCTCCCCGAGCCAGGCTGTTTGGGGAGGAGAGAAGGGGGGGGATTCACCCCCTTGTGCCTGAACCACAGGAGGGGCACAGGCATGGTCAGCACCAGGGTTTGATCCCCAAATCCATGGCCAGGTCTGTCCCCGTGGCACTGACGCTGCACCGGGAGCCAGGAAGGGCTTCGCCCCCGGTGGAGCCGCAGCCGCACGTCAGGGAGCGTTTTGGTGGCACCGGCGGGACGTGACGGATGGCAGCTCCCGGCGTGGGCAGCAGGAGCCGAGCTCAGCGCGGAGAGCCGGGGGAGGAGGATAACGCCGCTCTCCACGGAGCCAGATAATTAGCAGCGATGGGGAAGGACAGGGGCAGGTGAGGGGCTCAGAGCCGAGGCCGCAGTGGGGAGACCCTCTGGGGAGTCGGGAGATCCTGGGAATACTCCACCCACATCGCCCTGCACCCCCAAACTGGGCAGGGCGAGTGGGGCTACGAGGCCATCAGCCCGGGGACAGGCAGTCCCTGCCCATGGCGGGGGGGCTGGCAGAGAGGGGTGAGGAAAAAGCCATTTCCCCCCCCGCAGAGAGCCCCTGCCCAGGGGGAGAGCCGCCTCCTGCCACACAGGGGGGACACGGCCACCCCCAGGGTCCCTTGGTGCCCCCCCGGGATGGGGGGCGAGATGGAGGGGCCCTCGCTGCTCCCCTCAAACCCAGACTACAAGTCCCAGCAGACGTCACGCCGCGGAGAGCCCGGCTGAGGGCACCCTGCGAGGGGGCAGCGCCCGCTCCCCGCCGGCCCCCCGTCCCCCCCGGCGCTGGCGGGAGGCAGTGGGAAGAGCTGATGAGAGGACGCTGACGGAGACGCTTTTTTTCCCATCCTAAAAATAGCAGCTGGCCGTTTCCCCAGCTTCCCGGCCTCGCCAACGCTCTTCCATTAGATGAAAAAAAAAAAAAAAAAAAAAAAAAAAAAAAAAATGTTCTTGCAGCCCAGAAAGCCAACTGTATCCTAGGCTGCATACAAAGAAGTGTGGCCAGCAAGTCAAGGTAGATGATTCTGCCCCTCTGCTCTGCTCTCATGAAACCCAAAAAAAAAAAAACACAAAAAAAAAACCCCGAGGAGAAGGAAAGGGAAGAAAAAGGCACTAAAACCCAGGCACCTTCCGTCGGAAAGAGAGCGGGTGCGTGTGTCGAGAGGCGCCCGCGCGCCGCAAATAGAAACCGGGGCCAGGGGAGAGCGAGAGGCAGCGGAAGAGGGAGCGGAGCCGTCCGTCCCCAGTTATTCCCGAGACGTTTTAATTAGCACTCGCTCTGACTTTGAGGCTTTGCTTATGCACGGCGCAACGTATGACCTTTAAAAAAAAACAACAAAAAAAACACACACAAAAAAAAAAACCCGAGGAGAAGGAAAGGGAAGAAAAAGGCACTGGAGCAGCTCAGAAACTGGGAAGTCGGCTGAGCTTCAAATAGGCTGAGCGTCAGGCACTCCGGGGCTTTTAATAAGCTCCAGAGTGAGAAATTTAACACCACAGGCACTATTTTTGATCACTTGTGGAGGGAGAGGGGAGGGGAGAGAAAGACAGAGCGAGAGAGAGGAGGGGGAGGAGGTGGTGGCGAGAAGAAGAGGAGGCAGCCAAGATTACATCCTGGGTGGCAGCACCGAAAATAGCCGTGGCCCCGCTGGGGCTGGGGAGCCCGGCTCGCAGGGAGGGCAGCAGGAGCCCGGAGCTGCCGCCCACTGCCCTTGGCTGGAGCTGCTGCCCACACGGGCCAGGCCGGCTCCTTCCCGGGCTGGGAGACTGCAGGGAACAGGGGATTAGAGCGAGGCAGAGGGACTGCAGCCCCCCACGCCCAGGGGCCAGCGGCTGCCTCGGCCTCCCCCGCTGCCAGCCCACGCTGGGGGGATTTGCGCAGCAGCGGGGACCTGAAATCCCTCCGGGGAGGCCGGCACCGAGCGAGGAGCCTGGCAGATGGTGCCGTTGGCAAGAGACGCATCCTGGGGCGTCTGGCACAGGCGGAACCGGCCCCTCGCCCGAGCCCACTCCTTCCCAGCGGCGCTGCCGCGTCTCCGGGCGCGTGGGGACGGGGGAGCTCGCTGCAGACACGGCCCCCGTTTCGTCCCGGCTGCCAGGACACCGGGGCAGGCTCCTGGGACAGGGCTGCTGGGTAGCCAAGCCCTCAGGCAAGCAGCAAGCTCAGCAGAGCAACATCAGCAGCCACCCCCACCACACGGGGACTGGGGAAAACCTCCCACCACGTACGGCATCTGCTTCCCAGCCCGCACCAAGCCTGGCTCCGAGGAGCTGGGGGATGATTTCCCCTGCTCTGGAAACACAGCAGCAGGGGAACAGGTCAAAGCCCGGGCAGCTGCTGCCCAGCTGCAAGAAGTACCATGAGGAAACAGCCCAGGCAACATGAATTCCTGCGGCAACGGAGCCGGGGGCTGAGCAAAACCAGCGCTGGCCGGGGCGGGGGAGCGGGGACAGGGAGCCTCCGGTACCGACCTGCGCTGCCCCGCCGAGGCCTCCTCCCGCGCCGCCGTAATCCTGTTGTCCGGGTGGATTATTGGAGCTGGAGGTGGCTGACAGCACAGGGAGGGGGTTACAACATCTGCCTGATGAGCCTCCCGCAGGTGAATCTCCCACGGGAATCTCCAGCCGAAGCCCAGGGCGGCGCGGGAGGGACACCTTCCCCCCAGACCCCGGCGTGGGGGCAGGAGCCTGCCCCCGGGGCTCCCAGCCACCGCCGCGGCACAGCCTGCAATTTGCTGCCTCAGAAGAAGGCGACACGCTACGAGACGGGATTACATTTCCTTTTAATTGATCGGAGCGATTTCTCCGCCTCCATTTGTCCCGCACCATCTGTACAACCGGGGAAGCCAGGACAAGTAGGACAGTCTGGGGTTTCTCTACATCGACAGTGGGATTCCTGCAACACACAGAAGCGGAGCGGGATTTAACGCGCTGGGGGGGTCGGGGGCTCAGCAGAATGGGGGATTCTAGTCCGAGGACTTGGCCCCGGCTCAGGCTGTTAAACCACTGCCAGTAAACACGAGCCACCGGCTCTCGGACCTGACCTCATGGGCCAAAGAGCAGAGCTGAGGGTGATGGTGGGGGAGCTGCTGCCCTGCCGTGCCTGCTCCAGGCTGGGGGTGTCGGAGGGGCCTGCGGTGACCCCCCTGCCAGGCACAGCTCCCGACTGCTGGCACATGAGAAGAAGAGGGATGAGGCAGGGTCTTAGCGGGACAGAGGGACAAGGGAGGCCCAGCCTCGCCTCCCCCTGAGACAGAAGCTGTTTGTTTGTACAGAAGGGAGCACACGGAGCAGAGGCCACTCATCGCTCTCCCTCTGGGACCCCAGGCATCCAGCCCGCTCCCGAGCTGCCCCCTGGCCGGGCCTGTCCCAACGGGGACACGGAGGCAGCAGCGAGGCCCCACCAGTGACCGTGGGCTCCCAGCCCGTCCTGGCATCGGGCTGAGCCCTGCGGCACCGTGTGGCTCCGTAGCCCGTCACCGTGGCACCGTGGCACCGCACGGCACCGGGCCCTGCTGCCATCTAGTGGCTCCAGGGCGGCTCCGGGCAGGGACCCTCCAGGAACCCCCCAAAACTGATGCCCAGCCATGGAGAGGGACAGTTCTCCTGTCACTGCTCCCTGAAACCCAGGGACAAACACTTGCTCACCCCCGGGGCAGGACTGGCTGCTGCGAGGAAGCTCCCCGTGGGCAGCAGGGACCCGTCTCCAGAGCAGGTCTGGAAATCTCAGCTGGGACAAAGGTGACACTCACCTTCATTGCTCCAGGGCTTTTACAAGAGCTTCATTAGCTTCTACTTTAATCTGAGCTTCTGCTTTAGCTGCTTCATCGGATGCTGCAGCCATCTCTGACACAGCCTTCTCCAGGTTTGATTTTGCAGTCTGAACACGAGAGCACAAGGGATGCGTCATCGAGAGACCACCGCAGGACGGGTGACTTGTCCTACAGCCCCTGAGTCACTCCTCTCCCTCCACTGCAGCCGTTGTCCCTGTGCACGGGGCCCCATGGACTGCTTTCCAGGGCTGCGCTGGCAGCAGACGCCTGACCAACAGGCCCTGCTGGGGAAAAGCTGTTCCCCAGACTGAGGGGTGGAGAAGAGCAAGATCAGCATCTGTCCCAGGGGAGGGAAGTGGCCTGGAGAAGGGTTAACGACTGCACGGCTTCCTCTCCCCACAGCCTGCGGAGAGCTCACTGAGGAGGAGCCCTGAGCCTTTGATCCCCATCAGTGGGAGATGGAGAAGCTCGGGGTGAGGGCACAGCCCTTGGTCTGGGCTTTTTGCAGCCCCAGGAAGCTCCTGAGATGCCCACCCCACACACGAGGGGTAGGGAGCAAACCCCCTCCACGAGGCAGCCCAGCCCCGGGGTAACTCACCGCCAGATCCAGCATGTCCATCGTCACCGCCTCCTCTGCCAGCACCTGCACGCTGGAGTCCGCGTGGACCGTGACGGAGCCGCTGCTCACTGCAAAGGCACAAAGTGGGGGCTGAGTCAGGCAGGGGGGCCAGACGGGCCTCCTCTGGGGGTCCACACGCAGGGCAGTGCCGACAGGGGGATCCCCAGAACTTCCACAATCCCTTCACCAAAGCTGAAGGGACGGCAGTGTGCCCCCACCACCCCCAGCCCCACTCCTCCAACATCCCACGGGTCCCACAGGGACTTGTCTCCTACCAAAAGGGCGGCTAAAGCTGGGGATGCTCCCAGAGAGGCTGAGTAGAACCAAGAAAACCTGACCCCAGACCATGGTCTCACACTGGGCCCCATCTTCCAGGGCAGACCCCTGGTCCTGCAAGGCCTCTAGCAGCCCCTGGAAGCAGAAACCCCTGGAACTGGAGCAGGGCACGCCTTGGTCGGCAGAGTCTCCCTCGGGAAAGCCCTGAGAACATCCCCCACCATCCACACCTTCCTCCCTCTCCAGCTCCCCCCGCCCCACTCACCGAAGTACTTGGTGGCTGTGCCATCCTCAGCATAGACCGTCACCACCCCCGGCTTGAGGACCTGCAGGGTGGGCACGTGAGAGGCCAGGATACCGAAGGAGCCGGTCAGCGTGGGCACGTCCACCTGCTTCACGTTGGCACCGTTGTAAAACACCTGGACGGGGAGGGAAGAGCAGGTGGGGACAAGTCTGTCACTGGGAATAGCAGGGAAGGAGAGAGGTGGCTCCCGTGGGCTCCGGAGAGCGGAGGGACGCAGCGAGCAGCCTGTTCCCCCCCCGAGGGCACAGCCCTGCTGCCAGCAGCTGGCACACCGTGGGGCTGAACACACAGTGAGGTGTGACCAGGACAAGCTGAACCTTCCCAGGGCGGGCGCGGGGCCAGGGCTCTGCAGGAGGGGTCCTGGCAACGGGAGTGGGAAAGCGCTGGGAGGTGGCGGGGAGGCGGCACCCGGAGCCACGCTGTCGGAGTGGGCGAGAGGCGAAGGGCGCAGCCGGGAGCAGCCCGGGAAGGGTGTCAGGGAGACGTCCCCACCATCGTCCCACACAGCTCCGCTCCCGCCGTCCCCACGGCCACGGGGCCAGCGGCAGCCCCCGGTGCTCCTGCAGCCCCCGGTGCTCCCGGGGCAGACACAGGCTGTGACCCCGCACCCGGGAGCGGGGCCAGAACCCAGCCCCGAGGGGCACACAGCAGGGACAGAAAGAGACAGACTGACCCCTGGGGGGCCCGGGCAGAGCTGGGGAGAGGGGGTGGTGGGAGAAGGGGGAACAGGCCGGGGAGGGGGGCCTGGGTCAGGGCGAGGTGAGGTCAAGGTCAGGGCGAGGTCAGGCCGGGGTCGGGCCGGGGTCAGGCCCGGTGTGGGCCCGGCAGCAGCCGCAGGGACGGCAGCGCAGCCCCCGCCGCCCGCAGCCCCGCTCCTGACCAACCCCGGCCGCTCGTCTCCAACCCCGCGGACCGGCCCCAGCCCCGCCGCTCCCCCCCCGGGCCCGCACACACGGCGCC